TTTGCTCGGAGCAACAAAGTGGAATAATTTCCATACCGGTCAAACAACGACGGAAGGTTGAAGGATTAATCGGGGAAACCTGACGCGCGGTCTTTTTTAGGCCTGCTTTCGATCGCGCGTCTCGTTACGTCAGACGCAAGGTGAACGCACGCGGAATTCGTGCCCCCCGTTTCGGATGGGACGAGAGATCCGTCGTTTTTCGCGAGATGGATTCTTACGCGCTGGTAACGCAAGATTTCGATGGGGAACGGTGCGCAGACGCTGTATAAATGTTGGACATTGAAGCAAAAACTAAATATTCAAATTTTAAAACCTAAATAGAATTTTAATGAATCTTAAACCTATGACAATTATGTTTCATAGTATTATTACGTTTTGCTTCACTATTTACACCTCGTGACATCTGAAATTAGTTACGTTGATCTATTTATCTTTTCTTTAATTTACATTGTAATTCTTGTATTACATGACTTTACCAAAAGAATGTGTGCAATATCTAATGTTGAGGTTGTAATAATTCTAAAATAAACAGAAAGATGATTTAAATGTACAACAGAACTTTGTTACATTTGATTATAGAGGTTATAAATGTTTCTTAAATTTTGACGAAGAAGCAACCAAAAGCAAAAACTACGTGAACCTAAAAACAAATGGTGCAAAGTTTTGTCTGGGCGAATTTAGTGCGATTTTTATAATTGAATAAAACGTTCATTACTTCTACATATAATCAAATGTAACAAAGTTCTGTTGTGCATTTAAATCATCTTTCTGTTTATTTTAGAATTATTACAACCTCAACATTAGATATTGCACACATTCTTTTGGTAAAGTCATGTAATACAACAATTACAATGTAAATTAAAGAAAAGATAAATAGATCAACGTAACTAATTTCAGATGCCACGAGATAAATAGTAAAGCAAAACGTAATAATACTATGAAACATAATTGTCAAAGGTTTAAAGATTCATTGAAATATATGTAAGTTTTGAAATTTGAATATTTATTTTTTGCCTCAATTTCCAACATTTATTCAGTGTCGTCCCACTGTGCGCCGACCCGAGTTTTGTCATGTCCCTACAACATCGACGCGCGTCGGGACGCGCAAGACTCTAAGTCAAGCTACTCGGAATGATCCTGCAAAGGATTATCCTGCCATGGAATAAATTCTGAAAAAAGAACGAAGATATTCGGCACACGACGGACGCAATCGAACCAGGATGCAGATTCTCGCGAATCACCTTGGCAATGGGTCTGTGACTTATTCTGGTACGGACGTGAGTGAGATTTATCTGACTGGCTCGCGTATTTTGGCTTACCGCGAATTTCTAGCTCGCTCTCTCGCGCGCACAGCCTTTGGAACAATAAGCTTTCCCTGCACGCAATCACGAACGCGTCCATCATGAAACTGCACAGGCTTCCTGCATCTCGATCCGCCTCGATCTTTCGTGTTTCTTTTCCAGCCTTGAAGATGAATTTCGCGCGCGATGCGTCACCGAATTTCCAACCGTACGACGAGTCATCGCGACCAAGTCGACCGTGGCGAATACGCGAAACGACTTCGAGCTAAAACGCGTCGGTCATTAAGGACGTTGCGCGTTTCGCGAATCGACTACTTCACTTTGGCCAAATTTTAGGAATGATTGGGTTTCAAACTAAACAAACAGATAATTTCTGTTCGATATTATCAATTGTATTATTTTAATTATAATAGACGAATTTGTGAATATCGTAATAAATTTGTCTGTATTAATTTTGATTGGAAACAATCAAATATTGTGTCCATATAATGTTTAATTATAATAGACAAATTTGTAAATATCGTAATAAATTTGTCTGTATTAATTTTTATTTGAAACAATCAAATATTCTGTCCATATAACGTTTAATTATAATAGACAAATTTGTAAATATTGTAATAAATGTGTCTGTATTAATTTTTATTTGAAACAATCAAATATTCTGTCCAAATTATGTTTAATTATAATGGACTAATTTGTAGATATTGTAATAAATTCGTCTGTATTAATTTTGATTTGAAACGATCTCGAATGAAACCTATGGTATTGAACAATTCAAGGTGACCAGCGATATGGAAATGAGCGTTTCGTAACGGGCGATAAAAATTAATTTACATTCGATACGGTGTCACTGGCGTTGCAAGTGCCAAAACCAGAAATGTTAGAACGCGAAGCCAAGAGGTGCGTGTCACTGTTCATGCGCTCGCGATAAATTTGGAGCTAAAATGTCTAAATCACTCGTTGGTTCGTTTCACCGCGACGCAAATTGCTCGTACCAAAATTACCGTCCGATGGATTGACGTTGAACGGACGACGAAACTATCGAGAAAGTTTCTCTAGCGGGAGATTTAAGCGACGCGTTTAACAACCGTGTAAAAAAATTTGTAAGCTTTCACGCGCCGATTCGATTTATTTACGACGCGAACAAACGCGTGAGAAATAAATGCTAAACATAGTACAACCAACACTGTTGCAAAGAAAGATTGTTAATATAGAAGAGGTATTTAATAAATATTCTCGATACGTTTATTACGTTGATGAATATAACAAGTGCGTGACATTCGTAGTTTAATTAATCTTCGAGTATCTTCATCTGGCAAATACATTATTGCATTTGCATAGGTAAGAAGATCTATGAGAGATTTTATCCAAAGACGAGCTTTCGAAAAACTCGAAATTCTAAATGAAGCCGAGAAAGATGCGTCAGCATGGAGATTGTGCCGAGTGGTAGATCGGTGGATCTAATTTGGATTTATCGGGCAGAATAAATTTCCCATTCGAACGCGATCACCCGCGTTGCCGATCAAATTTATTCGAGAGGATTTAGAGGGGTCGAAGAAACGTGTATATTACGTTGAAACGATCTGACTATACGCTATAAGTCAGAGGAACGGGCATATGGACCGTGAAGATGACTGTCTTGCTTTCCGAAAGCGACGAAAGCATTTCCTTAATGACACCATTAAATCGGCGATGCGAGGGTGGCCACTCGCGGCGATTGTTCATTCTCGCGATTCGGGACTGGTAGCTCGCGCTACATTATACGTATTTAAGGTAGCTGTTCCGCGGATTTATTTAATGAAAGATTTTAACAAAACTTCGTTTGATTGTTCTTTGATTGACTCCTTGTACTACGCTGAACTCGGGTAAAACCGTGCTAAACGAGTCAGACTCCTAATTCTCGAGTTTGGCCTAAAAAATTCTCATCACGAGCCACACTCGTGATTTTCAGGTTTTCAGGAAGTGATGAATGTATGTATGCCGAAAATAAAATATAAAAAAACGCGGGGAAAGAAGAGACTATATAAACGTATCCACGAAATAGGAAATTTTAGAATGAAATTACTTTAAGATGATGCCAAGGAAATATGATTATTGAATATCGTACCTGTTAGATACGAATAAAGTGATATAACGGGTGTAATGAATATTATGATTTTCAGGTGTGCCCTAAAATATCATCACGACCCTAACTCGTGATTTTCAAGTTTGGCCTAGAATTCTCATTGCGAGCCTGACTTGTAATTTTCAAGTTTGGCTTAGAATTTTCATCACGAGTGAGACTCATGAAAATAGTGCAAGGAGTTAAATACTAATCATACGAGCCTATTTCGATCGAAATTGACCATGCCAGTTTTATGAAAAACAATATTTAGATTTTGTAATTTTAATATAGACTCTCGGGGAACGTACAGATTTTCATGTGAATTTGTTCACCTTAAACGAAAATGTAATTTAGGAACTAACTGAAAATTTGATATGTTGTCACCGATATTATAAATCATTAAAAAAAAAAAAAGTAACAATTATTAACCGCGCCGTTACTGAGTGAAATAGACTCATTTCTCGAGTATTACGAATGTATATATATAGATATACATACTGATTTATTATGGATGTGAGACCAGTAAGACTGTACTTTTACAAAAATGTTCAATTACATTTTTGAACGTGACTATCTCGAAACATCTACCTTAACTACTCGATTAGGGGACTGTTTGTGTATCCGAGTATCTTCTAAAAATTATTGTTCCATTCAATGTTGACCAAACCTAAAGGAACTCACCTCTACCATACGACTAAAAAATTCCATCAGTGTACCACGAGAATGCTCTGTACTTCCCATATCAATTAAGGGAGTATCCTGAATTAGAAGGTCTAAAAACAGCCGTTTTTCGTGAATTTTTTTAGGATTGAAAAAAAAATTAATTCTATCAAACTTTTTATTCTATTTTCACACATATTTGAGTAGTCTGTACAAATTTTGTCAACAAGTAATATTCAAATTGAGTCGACTGTGACGCACATTTGTAGAGCACCTCACAATTAAAACCTCCTACTAAGGAAACTAAGTAAAACCCGCAAAAATGGTGAAATGTGAAATTACTGCAAGTTTGAAAAAAAGAACGAGTTCTTTGGATGAAAGAAATCACTTTAACTTGATAAAAAAAGATGTTTAAAATATTTTTGTATGAATTTTCTTAGTTCACATGGAAGAAAAATGTATGAAAATAAAAATTCCTATTGGTTTTTTTTTTTGTGTCAAACCAAAATTACGACTTGCATCTTTCCCGCCGATAGGAGGTTTTAATTGTGAGGTGCTCTACAAATGTGCGTCAACAGTCGACTCAATGTGAATATTTCTTCTTGAACAAATTTGTGCAGACTACTCAAGTATGTATGAAAATAGGATAAAAAGTTCCATGGAATTAATTATTTTTTTCCATCCTAAAAAAATTCACGAAAAATCACTTTTTTTTAGACCTCCTAATTCGGGATACCCTCTTAACACGATTCCTTAAATACTTGCCCAAATACCATTCTCATAAATACTATTCAAAGTAAGTATTTTTAACCCGCCAGAAAGAATCTGTATGAGCAAAGTAACGTCCCCCTTCAGGCTTCTCGTCGAACTTTCCCGCCGACAGATTGAAATATCCCTCCCCACCCGATCCCCGTATTCAAATTAGGCGCGCTTACAGTGTGGCAACGTTATCGTTGGAGGATTCGTCGGGGGTGCTGTCGCGTTCCTCCTCCTGGATGTCGGGCGGTGGAGCAGCGATCGGGGAGGCGCTGCCCAGGCTCAGCGAGAAGGCTCTTCGCACTCCTCGTCTCCTCATCGCGAAATTCCGCTCCCTCGAAGGAAATCGCGGCGTTTTCTTCCTCATCTCCGTCAGTTCCTTCACCGAGAGTCCGTCGTCCCAAACCATGGCACTCACAAATCGCGGCTATCGACGATCGGACGACGACGAGTCCGCGACTAGCGACGGATTCGGCTCGATTCGCGCGCGTCCGCGAGCGTTTATCGGGTTCCGGATAACCGGAGCGAATTCGGGGAGTCGCCAAACGCCGAAAGACCGACACTGAAAGCAAACACGGTCGAATGAGGCCACCGAGAGACCGAACGGAAGCGTCTCGTCGCGATCCCGTCGCTGGCAAATCGAATTAAGTTAATACGGTTACGGAATCTGCTGGTGTGCCCTCGCTGTCTCGTTCCCGATGCTCTATCCGAGCTAGTGACGCACGTGACGGCGATCGTTCGCCCGTGAAACGAACCGCGGTGGCCACTCGCGAGAAACTGCGCGCAGCTGCGGTTCTAATGATCGAAACTGCGCGCGAGGCGCGACACCGAAATGCCTCCGAGCCGCGTAAACGCTCGACTGAAATTGTTTCGATGAAACGAGGAATTTCGGGTTAGCTCGGGGTCGGCAGGTATACGAACCCGGGGAGAAGGGAGGAGATCGCTCGCCTTCGAGTGCGATTGTAAAAACGGTCGAAGGGTAAATACGCCGGGTTACCGCGGGAACGCTATCGGTTGTTGTTACCGAATGTGTTTAGAGGTGACGCAATCAAAGTCCCATGTGTTGCTAGGTTGGCCAACGAGTTTGTATTTAACACGCAAATAAACGGTTATTTTTCGTAGACGAGGAAATATGTTTTCTCTATATTGTTCATTTTGATTTATGATCTCTTTCGTCGTCTTTTGAGCAAATTCATGATTCCTTGTCGTCATTCATGATCCGAACATGCACGGAGACGACCATCACGACGAAACAAAAACGAAGTTTTTGATTGATGTAATACGAGTAATTTAGGTTAGGTCCTTTTTTGAACATTTTTCAAAGAAGGAAACGGGACAAACTAATCGGCAAACTTCAGATTTATTCAAAGCCTAAGGTCATCTCTGGCCATGGAGTAGAGAGTACCTGGAACTTATGTATCGAATCTCGTTCGACTTGGACACCCTTTTGACACGTTCACGCCGCACAGTGGGCAATTTAAACGATCTAGATGGACAAATTTCTTACGAAACATGTTCATGAATTTTGTATCGCTAGACTGCGGGCTTTTATGCATTTATAGGAAATTAGAATACGCAAGAACCTACAAAATGCACACAGTATGCAATAATATAAAAACACATTGTAAGTAAAGTTCGTATTATAATGTTTGCAGAGGAAAATAAATTTCTATTGAGGTTCAATTTCCGTAGGTACGTTTGCAAAGATTTTATTGTGCATAAAGATCCGCAGACCATTTATCGCTACTTGTTTTTTGTACATATTTACGCATCGTAATATAATAATAATAATAGTAATCATGAATGTTTTGTTACTATTTGCTCTTTTTGTTTAGGCATTTTACAATATATATTTAATGAATGTATAGTATTTAGAGTCGTTTCCATAATTAGTATTTTCATTTTGTCCACCTAGATCTATAAAATTATCCACTGTGCGCCGGTTAGTTTCGTTTCTCACCCACGGGGCGGCGCAATGATACACACCATCTGATAACACGCGAAAGCGAGCCACCGGTGGTACACGCCGCCAGATGGGATATATAAGCGTGAACCACCGATGGTACTTGTATGTTAATAGAGCTTGTGGTATGTTTATAGAGTTTGCGAGAGTAACTAGAGCTACGAGTATTTGGATAGTTTAGTGTCTGGAATATTTAAGTATTCCGGTGGCAGAAGGCGACAAAGATATTCATGCATGCAATGTTAATTACTCGTATCTTAGAACTTATCAAGCAATAGCACCTAATATCTTACGCGTGGCAAACTTGTACGCGCGACTTTATCAGCCCGTGACAGTAGACTAAAATCGAAGGCGAACAAGTTTGGTCTCCCCCTTCCCAAACTAAACAATTATGGATGGATGAATAATCATGGATGTTCATGCAAGTACCACATTTTATATGCATATACAGTCAATACTATAAATACTACTCTCTATGTCTATTGAAGAAGTTTGTTTAACTAAATTAAATAACAGTTTTGACATTACCAAATGAATTTTTCATTTTCAAATACGTACAGTGAGTAACTTTAATATACACTATGAGATTTTTACATTATCACATCATAACTTCGTTTCTAACGAAACAAGCAAAAAACATAATCATGTATTATATTAACGTGTATGTTTAGTAGACAATAGTATAAGTTTTATTTACATAACTTACTGTAGTTGTTAAGTAACACGATTTAAACAAAACATTGTCTGATTTTCGTGTTACTTTAATATTCGGACACTTTTAGAAACTATGTATTTTGAGGCTAATTTTTATAATAATATGTGTTTTAATATCTTGTTGAGTAGCCATTCTGTTGTATCACTTCTTTTAAACGTTGTGGCATATTGCTAAGGATTTTTTTTAAATATTCAATAGTTATTTTGTCCCATTCTTCTTTTAACCGATGTTTCAACATTTCTTTTGAAGATATTGTTGTCCTGATACGTCGCTCTAGTTCATTCCACACATTTTCGATAGAACTGAGGTCAGGTGATTGAGGTGGTGGTTGTAAAACTTTTGGACAATTATACAGTAAATATTCTTGCACGATGCGTGCCTTATGTTTCGGGTCATTGTCCTGATAAAACTTAAATGTGTTTAAAATTCCCATTTGTGTAGCACTTTTGTGTAAATTATTTTTTAATATGTTCAAATACACATTTTTGTCCATAATATTGTCAATAAAAACTAATTCGCCTAGAAAAAATGTGGATATACAGCCACAGACAAGCACACTGCCACCTCCGTGCTTTCCAGTCGGCCTTAAATTTTTAAATTTAAATTCTTCATTTTTCTTACACCACACCATCCTTCGTCCATCTGATCCGAAAATGTTAAATTTACTTTCGTCGGTGAAAATGACATCGTTCCACCATGTTTCTTCCTTGAACACAAATTCTTTAGCAAAATTTAATCTCTTCTTTCGATTCTGTTCATTCACATACGGTTTCTTCCTAGCAACTCTTCCATTGCTACCACCATCTTTTAAGGCTCTGCGGATTGTTTGGGGATGTACCTTCTTCCCAGTCTCGTTTAAGAGCTCTGTTGCTAATTTTGGTGCACTGAGTGAAGGATCCTTCTTTATTTTTCGTATTAGTCTCTTATCACGTGCATCCAACTTCTTCGTTTGGCCCTTTTGGGGTACAGAGTCTATAGTATAGACTCTATACGATCCTCGTATTTGAACCGTTTGATGATATTTGCCACTGTACTCTTACTCATGTTGAGTATGGCAGCAATTTGTCTACATGATTTCCCCTTTGCATTGTGAAAAATCACAAGTTGTCGTATATTATACGTGGTATTGCTTTTGCGAGGCATTATACACATGCACGTAACAACGGTTATCGAAGAATAACTGATGAAATAAAGCTTGTTAGCATCATCCGAACAGTCGACTGTGTTTGTAAACAAACACTCCTTCTAACTTGAAATAACTCTGCGTAAACACTCAGAAAAGGTGCTACACTACCAAGTGTCCGAATATTAAAGTAACGCGAAAATCAGACAATGTTTTGTTTAAATGGTGTTATTTAACAACTATTGTAAGTTACGTAAGTAAAACTTGTACTATTGTTTTGCTACACATATACCTTAATATAATACTTCATTATGTTTTTTATTTGTTTTATTAGAAACGAAGCTATGATGTAACAAAGTAAAAATTTCATAGTCTCCGAATATTAAAGTTATTCACTATACGTGAATACGCTTATACATGCATATTTATATACGTCAACATATTTATGCAAACATAGATTCGAAAACATCAAACCTACCATTTAAACAATTTCATCAATAGACATGGAAGGTACGAATATTTACGGGACTGACTTGTATGCATCGTCATCGTACTCATCATAGCGACCATAATCATGGTCATTGTTCGAATCCTTTCCTACATGAGTATTTAACAACTCGAACGCTTAACAGCTCGACTATTCGAACATAGTTACTCGTTGCAAAATACGCAGACGTCATCGTCGTCGTATCGTTTACCTACGATGTGCTTGTTCGTACATGCACGAACATCCTCGGTCTAATAGCGAATCCACGACGAATGGATAGATCCTATCAATTCGAATAAAGATTATCGATTCGTGGCCGAATCGATCCGCAACGACAGCAGACCTCGAAGAGGTACTCGAATTCCGACGCAGGTGATTCCTTCGGTCGTGAACGGACGTTCGCGCGATCCCAGTTCGATAATACCGGTTTCGAGGATCCTATCTTTCGCGATTCGCTCTGCAAAGGAACGATCGAGCCACCTTTCCGCGCCGATCCGCGAGTTTCGACTGGCTACGGTTGTCCTCGTCCGCGCGGCACATCACCGTTCCGCTTGAGAACAGTAGCCGTCGACTGACGACCTTCGTTCGGTGGTTTCCATTACGTACACCGTGTAGTTACTGGATCGTACGTGTTCTCTGTGCTGTTGCCGATACGATCGAGTCCGTGTTCCAAAGGTAAAAGTCTCGTTCGCGCGTCCGTTACGCGTCACAGACTCGCTAACGCTGCGCGAGTACCAAACCAGCGTTTCCCAAACTCCTTCCGACACGGAACGCTTTCCCTCTGACGTAACGTTCTCGAAACACTTTCTTCTAGTGGGGCACATTGCGCTTTCAAGTGGAATCTTTTCTTTTGTTCTTGATTTTTTTAGGTAATAGGTAATTTAGGTAGCTCTCGTTGAATCGATTTTTGAATTTGGTATTTAATAGTGCAGAAGTCCCTTGGCAAAAATAGTTCGATCCAGTTATGTCTTCATTCGTTAAATTCAGTCGATCCAGTTATGTTCTCATTCGTTAAATTTGCAATCACAGGTTGCGAAAAGTTGGACTAAAATAATCGTTCTCTTTCTACTTTCCGATTCGAGTTTAAACGTTCTTTTTTCTCGAGGTACACCTTTAAGCTATTCATTGGATGCGTCGATGACGGTGTAATGCGATACCTTTGTCGGATATCGAATTCGTTATCGCGAGTTTCGTCACGCACCTCTAGATCGTCATCGCTATATCGATAAAACTCGAGAACGATACATTTAATGTTATATCTTGGAGGAATTTAT